CTGGAGACCTGTCCAGGTGTCCCTGTGATGGACAGGAGACCTGTCCAGGTGTCCCTGTGATGGACTGGAGACCTGTCCAGGTGTCCCTGTGATGGACTGGAGACCTGTCCAGGTGTCCCTGTGATGGACTGGAGACCTGTCCAGGTGTCTCTGTGATGGACAGGAGACCTGTCCAGGTGTCCATGTGATGGACTGGAGACCTGTCCAGGGTGTCCCCTACCTCTCACACAGTGACTGTTGGACATGGGCACCAGAGATCCCTCGACCTGAAAAGGAAGAAGTTGGTAAAACAAGATGGATGGAGTCGGACGGATGGACAAATGGATGGATGGCAAAATGCTGTGTGTTATTGAGAAGGAAGATGGTGTGAGCATGATAGCTTGAAAATAAGTGAGAAACCAATTTCCATTTGGGTATGTGGCTACATCCATCCATCATCTTTTATCTTTAACCACTTCTTCCTTTTCGGGTCATGGGGTCACTGGTGTCCATGTCCAACAGACACTGTGCGAGAGGTAGGGGACACCTGGACAGGTCTCCAGTCCACCACAGGGACACATAGAGACAATAAGACAAACAACCATTTGCTTGCTCTCTCTCTCTCACCTATGGACAATTTTTGGTTTGTTGGAGGAAACCGGAGTACCCGGAGAAAACTCACACAGCGCGGAGAGAACATGCTATCTCAGAAAGGCCACCAGAATGGGATTTGAACTGACAACCTTCTCAGTCAGAGGCAACTGCTCTACCAACTGAGCCACCGGTGGCTACATCTAGATATAAGAAAAGTTCCTTTCAAAAATTTGTTTTTCAAAATCCAAGATGGCTGCCGCTATAAACGGACCACCAAGAAACTCTGCTTTCTAGTTTTTATGTTGCTTAAAAGTACAGTCTCCTAAAATAAATGGGGTGTCTGAAGATTAATCACCGTTGTTCACCCCCCACCCCCCGGCTCCTCCACTGCTCCTGGTGGTGGATAAACGTCTCGCTCCTCTCAGGATCTGTCACTTCGCCTCAGACAAGAACAAACAAAAAACAAACCCTCTGTTCTCCTCCACACTTGAACATCTTCACCCAAAAAACATTTAGGTTTACTTTCATTCCCTGTTCAGAAAAACACTCATTTGGAAACGACAAACATTTAGTGCTCACCTCCCAGAGACGGGGCCATTGGAGTAGGGCTGGGCCATATCATATCGTATATGATATGCTAATTTCATGATGCAAGTACGTCAGTGTCTCCCCTACAATTATACAAGCGGGGTGCCCCGCCCTGTTAACAGGACCGAGTGCGCCAAACTACTAAACCGAACTGTGCAAACCCTCCCCCCCCACACACACATGCACACACACCTGTCGGTACTGGCGTAACGCTAATTAGCTGTGCGCAATACTAGCTAGTGAAAAAGCTAAAAACAAACGACGCGGTCCAAACACGTGCAGCTCTGTCTCTCAGTTCCACAGTCCATGGAGCAAGAACAGAGTCGTGATCAGAGACAGAGCCTCAGAGAAATGAATCATTCCTGCAGGAACAGAAGAAGCTGAAACACCACAAGCTTCAGGGTCAGATGATCACCTTGTTACAACTTCTGGAAGTTACATTAATTCTCAACAGATCTTAAGCTTTAATTTATTTAGTTCTTTTGGGGAAACTTCACCTTCACTTTAGTTTTTGTGGTGGATTTATTTATCTATATTTTGTGCAGACTTTTTCATCTAAATAACAGAAGGATCTTTTTTAGTTTTTAGTTTTTATACTTTGAGACTGAATACTTTTATTAAATAAAGTAATTTCAGTAAAATTAACCCTTGTTTTTTTAATTTTATATAATACTGCAAAGCAACAAGGTAAGTTAATTTTGTCAAATAACTATGATTTCTGTTTTTGTTTATTATATCATGAAATTTATCGTTATCGTCAGAATGCTCAGAAATATCACAATATTATATTTGAGCCATATCGCCCACCCCTACATTGGAGTCCCTCTGGTCTGTGTCTACTTGTGGACATGTTCCTGTTGGTTCTGTGGACTGAAACAAATGTTTATTAAAACTAACATGTGACTCTGGGTTAGACTGGATCCAGCTTGGTTTACAGTTTCTCCAGTTGCAGTTAGATGTTGGTTTTTGTGGATACCTTGCTTTGGTTTGTCACTTCACCACTTGCTCTTGCCAAGATCGGATGCTTTTCCCCTCCCTCTCCGCTTGGCTTTGCTGCTCTGTCTGTCTGTGAAACTGCTTCTGAGCCTCTCTTGCATCTTCTGAACCATAATTATGGACTTGTTTTGATCAGTTGGTCCCTCAACTCAATTTACAACATTTCTTTGAAGAGAAGACAGGCTTTAGGCGAGCTGATTTACCCTGTTGGCACGCACGCAGCTGGATATCTCATTGACTGGAAGACTTCATGATGTGTCTATCTCTGCTGCCATCTGTGGATTTTAAGGACGCATATTTAATTGGATTTTCGATAACTGGTTCCTGCTTTTTGGATTCGGCTGGTGTTGGTTTTATCTACAAACAAGGAAGTCGTCAGCAGCAAATTTGGACCCGATCACGCTGCTTGCCTTTATGATGGCTTGGTTTGTGCCTCGAGCACCCAGACTCAAATACTTTGGACAGAATGGATCAAATCTTGGAGATTTTACTCAGTCACGTTCCATCGGTGTAGCCATGGAATTTGGACATTTTGGAACCGAGTGGACCAACACAGACTGAAGGTTGATGTCATTAAGTTCTGCCTGTCCCCAAAACAACTGTGCGTTTATCTGAATTTGGCTCCCTTGGCTGGTCTTGAAGGTCATCTTATCTGAATTCACCTGGAGAACATGTGATCTGACGCTCACCACCCCCTCTCTGAGGAATTTCCAACTGATAACCAGATGAAACCAGCTGAATAAACTTTGTGTCATCATTTCAGGACTCTTGGATTCTCATAGATGTTATTCTCGGCCATTCCTCGACATCCCTCGAGAATGTTTATGGATCTCACCGGAGGGAACTGGCTGATTATTACGTCCTTATCAGAACTCTTACAGTGACCTCGAGAGCATCTATGAACATGCTCACCGCTCTCATCTCCCCCCTCTGCAGAATGTCTACGTCACTATGTACTTGTTTGTGTGAGGTGTTTTTTTAATATCAGACTTTTTCTTCTCAGACAAGGAAAAAAAAAGTCTGATAGGAATTTTTTCGCCTCCAATTCCTCCATGTGTCCAGTTTCACTACTTTTTGTCTAAACAGGTCTCACTTGTAAATGAGTCTTCTAGGCTCAGTGTGACTTATCTGTCTAAATAAAGGTTGAATGAATGGTTGAGCACCATGTTTGTTTCTTCTTAGTTTTGAAAAGGTTCCCTCCTTGTGAGCTCAAGTGTCCTCGTGGTCTGACGGAGGGGGACTTCCTGAACCTGCTGAAGTCTACCATTCCTGGGCTGGCTGGTGGTCGACCTTTTACGATTTTAGCTGATCAAGGTGGTCAGATCAGCCCTCTGAGGGTAGAGAGTGTGACCCCAGAGGAGCTCCGTAGGACTAGAGGGTCCACCGGGAGTCCGGTCATCTATGTCCAGCTGAAGGTACCCCATCCTGCTGGTTCAAACACTTTTCACATTTCTTTTTGAACCAACGCCACATTTCTGAAAAATGATTCCCTATTTCTCCTCGGGTGAAATTTCAGGAGAAGCTGCCTCTCACAGAAGACCTTCGCCACCCCCCTGGTCCATCCACTCCACTGACCAGGTGAGCCCGTTAAAAATCACCAGTTTGATACTTCTAGCGTTCTCCTCTAACTCCTCCTGTGTCTTTGACCCAGAGTTCAGCCCGTCAGGTCTCAGAGCGCAGAACTGCCGGTGGAACAACTGGTGGAACTGAAGATCTGCATCCTGGACGACCCCACCATCGAAGAGATAACGCCCCTTGGTAAGTTTAAAGCTGCTGACCGACTTCTTTCATTTGATCGGTTCTGGTGGATGTTGCAGAGGATTAGACGAAGTGATTAAAAACCAGTTGATAAGTCCTTGGTCCAAGATCACGTCCACTGTGTGATGGTCAGGACTGGTTTTAGATGATGGTAAAATATCAATAAACACGATTGATCCATATTAAAGGAGACACATTCGTCCTTTGAGACTTCCTTTTTCTGACCGAGACTTTTTATTTCTTCTGTTTGATCAGTTACAAACTGTGACCTTTAGGGCTGTCCCGACACCAGCTGGTTCAGGCTGAGTACAAGTACTTGAGTTTGAATACTTGCTGATACAGAGTACTTAAAGAGTTACAGTAGTACTTCAACATTACTCAGTGACTTTAGAAACACGTTTCTTTTATTAAGAACACAGCTGCTGTCTTACCTGTTCATCAGGAAATGATGTCATCAAGTGTAAAAGTGGAGACAGTTTGAAGTATTGGGCTGTTTCTGTGAGTACAAGTACCTGAGACTGGTATGAGCTGTTTCTGTGAGTACAAGTACTTGAGACTGGTATCAGCTGTTTCTGTGAGTACAAGTACTTCAGGCTGGTATCAGCGGTTTCTGTGAGTACAAGTACTTGAGGCTGGTATCAGCTGTTTCTGTGAGTACAAGTACTTGAGACTGGTATGAGCTGTTTCTGTGAGTACAAGTACTTGAGACTGGTATCAGCTGTTTCTGTGAGTACAAGTACTTGAGGCTGGTATCA